CCGGGACGCCCCCTCTTTCTTCCCGGCGCCCGGAGGCTGGGAGAGGGGAGCGATCGCAGCATCTGGCGCCGGGAGGAAGCGGCCCTGGCACCCAGGAGCCCAGCCCCCACCTCCCCAGGTGAGTCCCGGGCCCCCGCCGACCGCGCCTCCTTCCGCAGGTGTGGGGTCCCCCGGCTCCCAGGCCGACCAGCATGAAGCTCCTGTGCGTGGTGGCCGCGATCGGCTGTCTGCTGGCGCCCCCGGCCCGGGCCAACAAGGTGAGGGGCGGGGCCTCGGCACCTGCGGGACCGCCCGTGGACCCGGGCCAGCCCCTCGCTCGCTGCGGCCCTGCCTTTGNCCTTGGGGCGCGGGGACAGGGGGGACTCCAGCCTGACATCCGTGTTTGGGGCACTTACCTGAGCTGCCCTCACCTTCCTTTGCTCGGGGGGTCAGCGCCCCGGTTCTAATAACCAGCATCGCTCTGCAGGTGTCAGGCCCCCCCAGGTGGAAGTTTCTGCATGGAGGGTCCCCAATCCCCAGGGCCGGGACTCCTGAGGTCACTTCCATTCTTTCGGGGTAAAGGACCCCGACCTGGGTCTGGGTAGGTGTGTGTGCAGGTTGAGATGCTGATTATCACTAACGCTCTGGCGAGCCTGCGGTGTTAACAAAATCCAAGCGAGTTCATCTGACCACCTACTGGGCTGTATTAACCGATTCCTGAGCCAGGGCAGCCCATTCAGCGACTAGGAGGGTGCTCTGAGGTGTGGGGGGTACGGGAAGGAAGGATTTTATAAGAAGAAAGGTGGGGAAGGGAGCACAGGAGAAAAGAGCAGGTTATTTTTTGGCCTGGACATCTTTTCTTTGGGGGAGAGAAAAGGAAGGTTTCGGTCATGCACGTGATTGCCCCTTCTTACTACGAGGGATGGAGAGGGAACCACGTGACCGATGACCTTCCTGGGGCTTGGCCAGAAAACCCCAGACTGGTTGATTAAGATGTTTCTGGGAAAGACTGAAATTACAGCGAGGTCAGGTATTTTATCTAGGCTGGGCGTTTAGCTTCCACTGCCTCTGGGGAATTCCTAACGGGCGTGAAAATACTTGTGGCCTGTCTCTTATGGCTTCAGAGGGGCAGCTTGAGTATTCCCATGGAAACCNAAAGAAAATACTTGTGGCCTGTCTCTTATGGCTTCAGAGGGGCAGCTTGAGTATTCCCATGGAAACCACCCACTTTTTCTCACTCACCTTGCCCTGTTCCCTCCCCCAGTCTTAGGGAGTTGGATATAGGGGGGAAGAGCCCGGCCATCAGGACTACACTGGACAGAGGGGCACACACAAGTGTGGGCGTAGGGTAAAGGACTGTCACTTTGCTTGCCACACCGCCCTCACCCCTCCAGCACCCTACTAGGGGGTGGCAGTCCTAGGCAGCTTCCTGGGACTCATGTGCCTACCTGGACAGCTTGTCCGGAGAACCCCGTGATGTAGCATCCTTCCTGGGGAAGTCATTCTTCGCAGAACTTGGGGATGGGGAAGGTCAAGGGCATTCACGTGGTCGCCTAATGGAGCAGGGAGCCGGGAGGTTGGAGTCTTGTTGGAAGCGGAGCCCAGGACACCCCTGACGCACGCCTTGTCCCCCAGAGCTCTGAGGACATCAGGTGCAAATGCATCTGTCCGCCGTATAGGAACATCAGCGGGCAGATCTACAAGCAGAACGTGTCGCAGAAGGACTGGTAAGGCTGTGCAGGTGCACACGAGGCCGCTGGCCCTGCGGGACCAGTCACGCTCGGTGTGGGTGGGTGTAGAGCTGGGGGCCGAGGGTGTGCCTGTGGGTGGAGGGAGCGTTTCTACACGGGGACGCCCCCGTCCTCGCCCAGTCCCGGAGGGAGCTGAGACATGAAGTCCCGGGGGGGCCCAAGGACCTCCCCTGATGTGGTCACAGTTCAAAGGGCACCAGGGGACAAGCCGACTGACGACAGCCCACACCAGACGCCGAGGCCACGGCCCTCGGGCGCCCAGGCCCACGGCCCTGCGTGTCTGTTGCAGTAACTGCCTACACATGGTGGAGCCCATGCCGGTGCCCGGGCACGACGTGGAGGCCTACTGCCTGCTGTGCGAGTGCCAATACGAGGAACGTAGCACCACCACCATCAAGGTGACCGCCCGCCCCGCCCCGGCCCTGGCTGCCAAGTCCGTGCAGGCTTCGGCTTCATTCTGGAACACTACGGGTGGCCCTGGGACTGGCTTCCGGGCAGGCCTGTCCCAGACACAAGGACCCACTTCCCACCCCGTGGAGCCGGCCGTCCCGTAACCCCTGTCCTGGGGCTCCGCTCACCCCGGGTGCTGTGTCCCCAGAACGGAAGCTTCCCTCTCAGCATCCTGCTCTCAGCCGTGGGGGACGACCGCACACCCCGGCCCACCCTCCTTGGCCTCCGAGCTCAGCCCCCCACCCCCACCCCAGCCACCCCTCTTCCCTCTGTGCAATGTCCCTGGCTTTCACCTGGTGCTGGACTCTTCCCCACCCCCACCTCAGGGCACCTCGAGGTGTCTTGATCCCCACGTGTCATCGTCCCTTGTCTCTCTGGCNCCGTGCAGGCTTCAGCTTCATTCTGGAACACTACGGGTGGCCCTGGGACTGGCTTCCGGGCAGGCCTGTCCCAGACACAAGGACCCACTTCCCACCCCGTGGAGCCGGCCGTCCCGTAACCCCTGTCCTGGGGCTCCGCTCACCCCGGGTGCTGTGTCCCCAGAACGGAAGCTTCCCTCTCAGCATCCTGCTCTCAGCCGTGGGGGACGACCGCACACCCCGGCCCACCCTCCTTGGCCTCCGAGCTCAGCCCCCCACCCCCACCCCAGCCACCCCTCTTCCCTCTGTGCAATGTCCCTGGCTTTCACCTGGTGCTGGACTCTTCCCCACCCCCACCTCAGGGCACCTCGAGGTGTCCTGATCCCCATGTGTCATCGTCCCTTGTCTCTCTGGCCGTGGGAGAACTGACGGTGCCTGTGGGATCCTGGGTTTGGGGTAGCAAGTGAGTCCGTGACGTGGGGCCCTGTGGCCGGCCCTGGCACTGCGTCCCTCGAGCCGCAGCCTGGGGCCCGCAGGTGGTGCAGGCAGAGGACAGCTGTCCAGAGGGCGCGGTGTCTCCACAGGTCATCATCGTCATCTACCTGTCGGTGGTGGGGGCCCTGCTTCTCTACATGGCCTTCCTCATGCTGGTGGACCCCCTGATCCGGAAGCCGGACGCCTACACCGAGCAGCTGCACGAGGAGGAAAGCGAGGTACTTGGGGCGAGGCTGCTGCCCACGGTCCTGGACCCTGGGGTGGGAGGTAGCGGAAGAGCCCCTTGGGGGCCTGGATGGGGGTCCGGCCCTCCCCCGTGGTCCCGCTCACCCCTCCTGCTCAGTGTGCCACACGTCACCCAGACTCCCGTTTTGCCTCCGCGGGCCAGCCCTGTGCACCCCTAGATGACGCAGCGGGGTGGCTCTGGATTTCTCAGATGTCTGGCGTCAGGCAGCCTCGGTGGCAGCTGAGGCACCGTGTCTTCTCATTACACTGTGTTAGGCGGGGACCGGAGCCAACCAGGCCTGTGTCGCGTGGCGTCCCGGTTGCCCGGTGGTGCCAGGTGGGCAGTGGGCTTTCAGGTGGCAGGACACTGCTCAGCACAGAGCACAGCCCTGTGGCCTCGAGGGAAAAGCGGTGTTTCAGGCGCCCATGGGAATTAGGTGGGTGCTGCCAGATGGGAAGCTGGCATATCGCCTGAGGAACCTGGCAGGGGGAGCGGGGTGGGCAGAGGGGGTGTCAGGAGGCCGCTCTGAGGAGGCAGCGCTCCCCCAGGGGGGCTCAGGTCTCGGCCATGTCCTGGGACAGGTAGTTGAGAAAACTGGAGATGTTTAGCTAGAAACAAACAAACAAAAAGCCAGACTCAAGGATGGCAGCATTAGGACGGCTCAGAAGAGAGCTTGGCCAGGGGGCAGCAGGACCCACAGCCGGGGGCCGGGGACGGTGGGGCACCTAACGCTGTTTAAGAAGCAGCCCCGCAGTCAGGCAGTGAGCTCGGGATTCAGGGTCCCCAGAGGTCCCCAGCTCGGAGCATTTCAAGCCCAGGATGGAGGCGGGAGAGGGTCAGATCTGAGTGTGACGTGGGGCTGGGCCTGCTGCTGCTTCGGGGTGCCTGCGGGACCGCTGCCTGCTGCCCCCAGCCTGTGGCTCACACTGGTTTGGCCAGAGGCGGGGCCGAGAGCCCCAGCCTGGCCCGTTGGAGGGGGTGGCACTGGAGTTGGGTGGTCCGTGTTCGGGAGGAAGCCCCGTGTGCCTACCTGGTTATTAATGCTCGGTAATAGCAGCTCTGGGGCGGGGGCATCGCTAATAAACACTCGGCGATTAGGGCAACACGGTAATTGCAGCCCTGCTGGGGCGTAATTGAGAGATGCGCGATGATTACAGCCCGGTGCGATTTCCCCGGAATGCGAGGCTCCCGGCGCGGCCTCCCGGCTCCTGCCTCCTGGACGCAGAGCCGGAGGAGGAGCGGCCCCCGCCCAGGGGTCTGAGCCCAGGCCCCTCTCCCCTGGAGGGCTCCCCACTCTGAGTCTTAAGTCACAGCTGCCTCTGGGTGGGGGGCCATGGCAGGAGGGGTCAGATATGGTCAGTGTAGCTCCTGGAGCAGAATGTGAATCAGAGGGTGGACATCGGGGGCAGATTTTGGCTGAGGAAGATGGAGTGGCCCTCCTGGCAGCTGTGAGGGGCCTGCCCCCCACCAGCACCCTGAACCAGGACTGCCTCCCCTTCCCTGTGGTTTGTTACTCCATGGGACCTCTTGTGACCCCGTCTTAGGTGCTCCTGGTCATCCCTTCTGGGGCTCGGCAGCTCCCCTCCTGTGCACAGGCCTCTCTTCCTCCCTCTGTCCTTAGAAGTCCCACAGCTGCTCTGAGGGTTTACAGACTGTGTCTGCCTCAGGGGCAGCTGCCCCAAGGCAGAGCCGACCCAGGGGTGCGAGCAGGGAACGTGAAGGCCAAGGGCAGGGTCAGGTTTAGGAGACGACCGTTAGGGAGGAGGCTGTGGAAGGCTCTCTGCTAGACCAGGGTCAGGGACTTACCCTTCCTTTGTGTTAGTCTGGGAGGGCTTCCTGGCAGAGGGCACCTTCAAAGCCAGCTCCGAAGATGGTGACAGCTCAACTGCTGTGGAGACCAGAGCTGAGTAGATGGTGAGGACACTGCTGGTCCTCCCCTCTCAGGGCACATGGGGACCATAGGGATAGGGGTGTCGGGGGTGTGGGGGGCTGAGGCAGAACAGTAGGTCCAAAGGCCCTCAGCTGACCACCAGGCGGAGGCTGTCTCTGGGTTTATTCATGGTCTGGAGAGTTTCCCTTAAGAAAACAAGGAGGGGGCCTCCCCTGCGTGGGGGCACTTAGCTGGGTGAAAGCTAAGGAGGACAGTCAGAGCAGGGCCTCTTGGGTTCTTGGAAGTTCCCCTCGGCCTCTTTGACTCAGTGACCATGAGAAGGCAGCTCTGTCCAGGCCCCGGGGTTCCAGCCCCGCACCCCCAACCCCTCCCCGAGCCTGGGACCTAGTCAGGGGTCCGATCTGGAGGGAGATCACACCGCAGGATTGGGGACCCTGGCTCCATCCCCCCAGCTCCTGCAGCAAGGAGCTCTCCACCCGGGGCCCCCGCAGGGAGATGAAAGCAGCGTGTCCCTTTGAAAGCCTGGCAGCCTCGCGCTGGGCGCTGCCTCCCGGGATTCCAGCAGCATTAGGCCTAATCCCCGGGCTCAGACGCCCTTTGAAAGGAGGAAGCTAGCGTGTTTGCCGGGACAGAGACGGAGCTGCTCAGATGTGTGGGTCTGGTCCCCTTTGAAGAGGGAGAACAGCGTCGAGGAGGCGCTGGGCGTCCGCTGCTCAGCATGGGCTCGGCCTCTCCCCACCCTAGAGATCTCCCCACCGGGGCTCGGGGACAGCGCTGGGCCCTGTGGGAGGGGCGAGCGGGGAACTGAGGAAGGATGGTGATGGCCCCTGGAGACATAAACTGACATAAATCGACATAATTCCACGAGAATGGTCCCCTCCCAGGGGTGGGTGGGCAGCACCTATGTGAGGCTCCTGGTCCTGGGAATCTTGGAAAAGACGGGTGCCGAGAGGGACACTCACCTTGTCTCCTGTGAGGACAGGACAGAAAGGTGTGGAGTCAACGGGCGTTTCCAGACCAGACCTTGGGCCCCAGCCTTGGTCAGGCGCTGGCTGCTGGCTCCCCAGTCAGTGCTCTGCCAGCTGCTGTCCCGGGTGCTGAACCCCAGTTTCAGTTACTGAACCCGGAATCTGTTCGGTAGTTCTCCCCCAACACGATGGCGCGTGTGCGGCTTTAAAAGCACTGGTTTGTCCTAAAGAACGAGACACTTCACTCGGGTCCACAAACCTAGGACGCAGTGTGACTGTGGGAGGGGCGGCTGAGGCCCGGCCAGGGCTGGTCACCATGTCCAGGAAAGGCCGCAAGGGCCTGTGGGGAAGTGAGGCCAGGGATTCGAGGTTCACCAGCTCAGGTTCAGGGGCCGGAGACCCAGCTTTGGAGAGAAGGGGGTTGGAGTGGCGTCGGTCCTACCCCTGGCTGCCGCCCGCCGCAGAGCACCTGGGGACCTGGGGACCTGGGGACGGGCCCTCGCAGGGCGTCTCTGGAACACAGGTGGAGCCTTTAATGCCTCTAATCAGACTATTAGCATGGGGCCTCCACCGCAGGCCCCCCACCTGGGAGCCGCTTGTTGAGACTTTACACGGAGGGAGAAGGGATGGAGCTGCGGCTGTGCGGCTCCCTGAGGTGCTGCCCTGGCCCCCTGGCTTCCCCTCCCGAGCACAGGGAGAAGCAGGCCCGAGCCTTTCCCTGCCCTCCAGCTGCCTCGGGGGCTCCCCCAGCTCCTCGCTGCTCCCAGAAGGGGCCAGGCTGGGACTGGGGAGGGAGGCCCAGTGGCCCCACACCCGGGATGGCTAGGTCCCAGTGGCCCACAGCGTCCCAAACAGGCCTCAGTGTCTACTTCACCCAGACGGCCGTGGTGAGGCCCGTCCTTGGCACCTCGGAGCCCCTGTGGTGCAGCTGAACTGGGTGGGGGAAAACAGAAAGGTTCACAAGGCCACAGACGTTCAGAGGCAGGTCCCCTGGCTGCAGGCTGCCCACTCGCCCCCATCCCTGCCTGGGCCCCTAGAACTGCCTCCCCTTGCCAGGCGCGGGAATCGTCCTGGGCCCTGGACCCGGGCCTCCGGGGGGTGCTATGGTTTTTAACATCCCATGGGCAGTGCTCCCAGGATGAGTGACTCAGCTTTGCAGTGACAATGAGCCACCCACCTCCTGGCCTCTGCCCTGGCCAGACCCTCTCTGCAACTGCCCACTCACCTTGCCCCCACCCCCCACGCTCCCCTGAGCACCCCTCTCGCCAGCCTGGCAGCTGCCTGGCGGCGACAGAAGCTGTGCCAGCCCCGGCGTTAGGAGCAAAGTTGCATTTACTGGGCGGCTCTGGGCTTAGAGGGCCCTGCTAATCTCTTAAGAGATGGGTGGCAGGAGATGAGAGGCAGGGAGAGCCGGGGAGGAAATCCCCACGGGGCTGCGGGCCTGGCCCTGGGCTCTAATTCCCCCCAAAGATCAGGTTTGGGTCCCGCAGGAAATGCTCGGGCTTCAGAGGCAGAGAAGTGGTAATTAGGGGCGGATGCCGCCTTGACGACAGAGA